TTTTTTAATTCAGGAGATTTTAAACAAAACCCTTCATGTTATGAAAAGACGCTCTTGATTCAAGAGAGAACTCCAGTTTTTAAGAAAATGACTGCTTATCAATTAATTGTTAGTCAATCTATTAGATAAATCAACTTCAGATTAATTAATTAATCAATAACTTGCATCCTCAATTTATACAGGAATAAAATTAATTTATAAACTGTATACTCATATTTATGTAACTAAGCATTTTAATGATTTGGCCATTTTAATCGAAAAAATAATCGACAGATTAATCAGTTGTTAAAAATAATCATTATTTGCAGCCCTAAATCAAAGTTAAACCTCTAAAGAATTATTATTATTATTATTATTATTATTATATTGGATGATGATGATTTAGAAATTCTCCTGATCAAATTGTGTTTAGTTCTGAAATACGCTTCTTAATTGACACTTTTGTCCAGATTTAGTCTAAAATAAACTTTTGTTCATCATCCCAGCTCTCCAGTCGCCCATTGAGTACCAGAGGAAAGAAGGTGGGATCTCTGTGACCCGACCGCTGTCATCAGGGCGCCCACCATCAGCTCCGCCCACCCCCAATGGTCACGCAGCTCAGCCTCTTCCTGACAGTGATCAGGACGACCAGGTTTGAGCTCTCTCCATCCTTTTACTCAGACTATGTCCTGTTGTGTCTGTGTACTGTACAGCACTTTGGTTGGCCTTGTGCTGTTTAAAGTGCTTTATAAATAAAAGTGGTATGGTATGGTAGACATGATATCCTTTCCATTCAAACTTTGCTTAAAACACGTGTCTGACCCCCCCAGGAGCTGGTTCTGGTGCTGCAGGACTTTGTGGCGGTCCGGGAAGATGAGATCTCAGTGTTTCGAGGGGAGAAAGTCCAGATTCTGTCATCCAATCAGCAGGGTCAGAGTCTGGTTTATCGGCCAGCCAACAGAGAATCGCCTGCTGCCGAGGGATGGGTGCCACGGAGTGTGCTCAAAACACACTGACACACACACACAAACACACACACACAGACTGACTGCAGGGTCAGAGACTGGTTTACAATTTCTACACACACTTTAGTACTGCAAAATAACAGGGTCAAAAACAGCAAGGAACTCAGCGAGAATCAGAAATATGGTGATGTCGACCTGTTCAACAATCTGGTCCAGTTTCCCATTAAATCTGTCTTACATATAGTCTGAAATTTTTCAACAAATGTAAGATTTACTAAAAATTATTCAGTGCTTAGATTAAAAATGTTTCTTTAATTTGAATGTTTTTTTGTTTTTTGTTTTTTTTTTTGGCAGGACTTAATTTTACAGTAAAACAAATATTTTCTGCATGAAAATACAGGTTAACAAATCAAAACTCAGTTTGTTTCTGTTTAGAAAAATAGTTTTGTTTAATCTATCTTAACATGTGCCTTAGTTATGTTTGAGTGGCTTTAACATGGTGCAGGATTTTTTTAGGAGCATCAATACTGAGTCACAACGTAATTTCATAAAAGCAAGTAATGTATTTCCACCTGTAAGGATATTTAAATTTAAATTAAACTGAGCTCATCTTCTGCATCTGTTGTGGAAGGAAGTCATGAAATAACTTCTATGTGATAACAATTTATTGATTTGTCTTTCATATGTATTTATTTACAAAACACAAGAAAACTAAAAAAAAGAAAAAAGAAAGAAAAAAAGAAAGAAATAGAAACTACTGACCATTATGGCTTTCCACACTTTCAGATGATGTTCTTATTTGAACCAACATTTGACTCCTTTGGCTAATTTTTATAAAAACTAATATTGATTAAACTTTTTTTACATTAATAAGCTGTTTTAACCATAATCATTGTGTTAATTTTATAATTAAAGAAAAATATTTGAGTCATTGTTTATTAACTTTCAAGAAAGAAAGGGTTGTGTAAAAACAGAACCACTCAGGATTTTAATGAGTTCTGGTCAGGATGGAATCAATTTTTCCCACTTTTGGAAAAATGATCTATGAAGAATAAAGCCACTTTTTTAGGTGGACTTAAGGCTTGTTTGTATTGTGTTATATTGGACCAAAGTTAGAGTCAAGTGGAAAAACAAGAATTTCATTTAAAATGTGAAGTTTATACATTTTTTATGTTTTACATTAAAACTGTAAATGTCATCCAACTTTAACAAAGCTTAAACCAGGGCAAATATAACCAGAGGTGTCATTTATTTTACAGCATTTATTAGTTGAAATAGATGACCTGTCAGTAATGCACATCATTATTTGCCAATTATTTGACTATTTACTGCCATAGGTAACAGAAAGAGCAGAAAAAGCACAGAATTAAAAAGCAGAAAGAAGAAATGTCTCAAAATCTCACCTAACGCTTACCGTATTTATTCAAGTATAATACGTAAAATTAAATCCATAAAATCATCCATAAAGTTGGGGGGTAGTACTGTACTCGGATAAATATTTTTACTTATGTATTTTAACTGAAATATCGGCTTCATTCACAAGATTACTGAGTCTGGAAATGACACCGCGTTGTAAAAACAGTTGAAACGAGGTCACCTGTGTGTGACACTCCTTCGTGCTTCAGAGCGAGATAATAACAGATCCAGGCAGGAGATATGATGTGAAAAAAAGGGGGGAAGCAGTCCTGCAGCTCAGTAATGATAACAAACTAATGACATTAGCGTGTGACCGAGCCGCTGCTGGAACAACAACAAACACATGTTCGTCTGTAATGGCTGCCGTCTACCGGTGTTCTGAAAAAGTTTGTATCCCTGAAAAAAAGTTTCCCCACCAGAGGGGGGTGCTCGCGAGTAGGAAGTAATCTGCTTTT